GGTAAAAGCTACAATAGTGTCAGCTTTGGTGTTGTCCCTGACCCCTGCTTCTCTCTGTGCATCCTTAGCTTTTGGGTTGGTTTAGAGCAGGAGCTGCATCTTCCCACACGATGGATGACACCTGCAACCCAATGCGCCCACACTCGAAGGGAAACCCCTTTGGCTGCGTGTGGTTGGACATTCTGGGAAGATTTCTGGAGTGCAGGGTCACGTGAAAGGGGGTTAGGGAGCTGAGCTTTCTCTTCCTAAGTATGCACTAAATATCCCTAGAGGCTTGGAAGTTCATCCCCACATACAAGCAAACCTGGGGGTTACACAATGCTGCAGCTACCTCCAGTTTGGAGACTGAAGGGAGCAAGTTCCACCCTGGCCATCGCTTGCTGATGAACCTTCAGGCTTCCATTTGCTTCTCTATGGAATAGAGGGTGGGGCCAAAGAGTAGTTTATTCCATGATTCCATGAATATCTTAGAAAGCAAAATGCACAGAGCCAAATTTCCTTTGCCATGCCGAATGACAGAGCAACGGAACTGGTAGTGTTGATGCCATAAAACCCCAACTGGAGTTATAGACGGAAGGGGAGTTGGTGTGTCCTGCCACTGATGTCAGGTAACTCACAAAGACGGGTTTAGGACTCTAGAAGCTGGCTGTCTGAACATCTTTGAAGTGGTGGTGTTAAACACTTTTATGAACTGTAGGCTAGATGAGAACATGTAAGTCATTCTCTTGGTATGTTGTATTTTCCCAAACACGTTATTTCAAACTGAAACATTGCAACAACTGTCTTCATTTAGGATGCGCTTTGCATTTGCTGCTTAATGTCTATTAGCTGACTGGTTTCTGTGACGCTCGAGAATGACTTACGGAAGTTTGAGGTCACAGGAGGCAGAGTTTGGCTCATTCCCGGGAAGACGTTTTTAAGAAACTGAGCTCGCTGTTGGAGGTGGTGGACTTCCTGTTGTTAGTAATGTTCAAACAAAAGCTAGGTGTCCCCCCACCCGACTCTCCCTCTCCTGGGTCGGGGACATTGCAGAGTGATTCTCTGACATCCTGTCCAAAGCAGCCACCTCCTCCTCACTCTCTATCTACCATTCTAGTTTCATATTTCAATATTTATTACTCTCAGAAAGTGCCAAATTCATTTAATTCTTGACTCGTCTGTCATTATCATACCCAGCGTGAAGGTAAATCTGGTGTGGCAGGTGCCTGGGCTCTTGTTAATTCTTTTTCTTCTTTTTTTTTTTCTGAAGCAGAGTCTCACTCTATGTTGGCCAGGCTGGTCTTGAACTCCTGACCTCAAGTGATCTGCCTGTCTTGACCTCCCCAAGTGCTGGGATTACAGGTGTGAGCCACTTCGCCTGGCCTCCTGTTCATGGTTCTATTTCTTGTCAACACTGATGGCTGGCGCTCAGCAGGCACTTACCTATTGAATGGATGATTTTTCTCTTGGTGCCGGCATCATAGCTTCTAAGAGCCCACCATTGTGAGGGATCAGCCCTTCGAAAGCTGACTGTGGGTGCTGGAGGGAGCTGTGGTGTCCTGAGATTAATGAGTAGTGGAGTGAGTATTAGGAATTGGACATGTGGCCCTCGCTGGCTGTTTGTCCTGGGGTGAGTCACCTGACCTTTTTGGGTCTCAGTTGCTTAGTTGCTTCATTTGTAAAAGGAGAGAGTTGGATTAAGTTATCTTCAAGGCTCCTTCCAGCTGGACTATCTTGTGATTCAAGTACTCTGTGTTTGTACTCACTCCTTTGTTCTCAAACTGTTTGTTCAACTCTCTTTTATTAGGGGTTCTAGGCCTGTTGAAACTTAAAAAAAAAGAATAGCCCTGGGAAGCAAAGAGTAAATATTATGCAAGCGCAAATGAATTACTATTGTATTCTGTATAACAAATTATAAGGAGTACAGAGAGACTCCAAGGGAACTATTTAATTAAATAATCATCAGGTTAAATATAGATGATTCAACCCCGGCACAAATTAGCAATTGAGGATTTCTTTCCTGATAGGTTTAGCCACCTAATAGTGAACTCAGCCACAACATACCTACTTTTCTCTGATTTTAAATATACTTTATAAATGGGATCAATTAATACTTTCTTTCTTCTCTCTTACTAGGAGACAGCTAGTAAGCCTGGATGATTCCACTTTACTGGTGAGAAAATGCAAAATAAGCTATTCTTTCCATTTTTTTTTTTTTAATGGAGACGGGGTTTCGTCATGTGGGTCAGGCTGGTCTTGAACTCCTGACCTCATGATCCACCTGCCTCAGCCTCCCAAAGTGCTGGATTACAGGCATGAGCCACCGTGCCCGGCCATAAGCTATTCTTAATAACAGCGTTAAAACAACCCTTTCAAAGATGGCACTGAATGGTAGATGTGTTGAAGCGGAAGGCACAGAGATGGCTAATTTTTTTGTTTTGAAGTAAATTTTGTTTTGAAATGTTATTTTCCTCTTTCTGCATGCTCCTGGAAGAGCCCATCTCTTCTGAGTCCTGAAGCATTACCCAAATGCCACACACAATAGCAACCAACTCAGAATGACCTCTGTGATGAGTCGGTCAATATGTAGATGGGTATTGGGTACTAACACAATGAAGATGGTGTATCAGATTTTGTCCTGTGGATACAATACGATGCAATCCATACAAATTTGTACAATCCGTACAAATAGGGATACAATAAAAGACTGAGTTGAGAGCAAATAGAGGATAGTACAACTTGCCATATCCTGCTAATTGGGGGACACGCTGAATGCTAGGGAGCAAGAGGAGACCCAGGGCAGCGTCTGGTCTGGAGAGACGTTCTCTTACAGCTTCACATTGGCCTGACTCTGGGAGTATCAGAGGAACCCTGCTTACTTTCCTGAGTCACAAAGACTCAAATAATTAAATGTAAATGTCACTCCCTGGAGCTGTGTATCTTGGTGTTCCTGCATCAGAAGAACTCAGACTGCTCCTAGCAGACAGGACAAAGGAGAACATCTCAAAGTCACTGCCCAGGGGTGGAGCCAGCCTACAGACCCATTAAAATGTACTGTGCTCTACACAATACTTGTAAATACTTTGAGCCAACATTTAAAAATCAAAAAATTTAAAAATAATAATGATTCGGATTTCTGGTGTCTCTAGGAAAACCGGGGTATTTGGCCATAGAGGGCTCATATTCCCATTTGGCATCAGCCACGTGGATGTAAATAGTATCTGTTTTTTTTTTTTTTTTAATAAAATGGGCTTCTGCTCTCTAGTTTGCCCCAGTCCCTGCTACTCCATATGTGTCCCCAGGACTTCCCCTCCTCCAATGTTAGAGATATTTTTCTCTATACTCATATCTCTGTCAAAAATATGAAAAAATGAAAGCTCAAGAGGGCTGTGTGGGTTTTTTTTAAAAAAAACAGACAATAGGAAAGCCTATTTTTTCATGGATTGCAAGCAAAGGGTGGCCATGTTGAAGGAATGGAGCCCACCAGCCTCACGCCTGTCCGTCCCCGCTGGGATCCTGTGCCAGCTGAGTCTGAGGGAAACATGGCAGGTTACATAACAGAGGCACTACCTCAAGAATTGCCCTAATAGTTGAGATGCAGTAAGGGTTGATATGTGCCATGTGTTACCTCATTAATCTTTCCAACATCGCTGTGAGGTAGGTAGTTATTATTCCCGGCCTCACAGAGGAGGAAACAGGTGCAGAGAGGTTGACCAACATGCCCAAGGTCACACAGCTACTTGAGGACAGAGACAGGTTTTGAATGCAGGCCTGCCTGACCTAAGAATTCATGCTCACTTTTGTTCCCTCTGTGTAAGACAAATGCCCCTGGCCTGCGCTGATACATACATGTACTGTGTGTGTGTGTGTGTGTGTGTGTGTGTGTGTGTGTTGTGTCTCTGCAGCAGAATATAAGCTACATGAGAACAATGGCTTTGGTCTGTTTCATTCCTTGCTGTCCCCTAGCACCCAGAGCAGTGCTTGGCAGGTAACAGGCACTCAGTAAGTACCTTTGAATATATGTGCTGGGCAGACAACCCCTGATCCCTGGGAGGCTGGGGCTGTATTTGCTGAACTCTCTCCTCTGAGTACCACATCATGATGGGAGCTTAGGTTGGGCCTTTTGCCAGATCTGGGTAGGCTGAAAGGGACAGGTGGTGATAGCCCAGATTGCTCCACACCTTTTCATTCCAAGTCTGGCTCTTCCTCTTTTCTAAGATTTTCCTTCTCCATCCTCCAGAGCATGAAATGAGACAGCTGGGGGTTGGAAAGTGAAGGACAAAGCATTAACTGTTTACAAAGACAGATGGTGGAGGAAGTAGTCCTGCAGACCTCGTGCTGGGCTGTCCCAGGGTGCTTGTGCCCAGGGGCAGTGGGAATGGGTTAGTGGGCAGCTGCTTCCTGACTGAGGTGGAAGAAGTAGCAAAACCCAGTGGTAATGGGCTTGATGACAGCAATGGCTTGGAGTGGTGGCCCCATCTCTGATGCCCATCTGTTGTAGTTGCTGAGAAGCAAACCCCAAATAAGGATTTGAGTGGAAGTAGTTTGAGAGGTGATTTCAAGAAGCACCAGTAGGTGACAGGGAAAGTGAGTCAGAAAGAGAAGGCAGCTAGTAAAGGGTTTGTATCTAGTTGGTTATCACTCTGGGTGTCTGGCCTTGATGCTGCTGGGAAGATCGGGGAGCCAGTGAAGGACACATGCTTCAGAAACAGCACATCCAAGGGGTGAGGGAGCTGGGGTATTTATACACTAACTGTCTCAGTCCTGGGTTGAGGGCTACTTGACACTTCTGACCTTCTGTGAGGGTGGCTAGAGAGAGCCCGCAGGCATAGGTACAGGGACTGGCAATTGGAATTGGACAGACATGTGCTGAAATGCTGAGGGTGAAGGGAAGTGGTGGGCCACCAACAGCATCTGCTCTTCATATGGGCTGAGCATCACACCTGGAGGCCAAGACGCTTGACAGAGGTGCTGCATCTGCCCTGTGTCCATTAGCTTTTGCAACATAATAGACCACCCCCAAAAATTAATGCTTAAAGTGACAACCACTTATTTAGCTCACACTTTGGTGGGTGGGAAATTTGAGCTGGGCTAACGTAGCTGGTTCTTCTGGCCTCATCTGGGCTTTCTTGTATATCTGCAGTCAGCTGGCAGGTGGGTTTGGGGCTGGTGGTCTAAGATGGCCTCGGCTGGGACAGCTTATCGGTGCTCCACATGGTCTCTCATCCCCCAGCCCTAGGTGGGGCTTGTTCTCACGGTAGCAGCAGCACTCCAAGAGAATGAATGTGGGCAGGCAAGGCTTCAGAGAGCTAGACTTGGAACTGGCACATTACTTCCATTACATTCCATTGGCCAAAGCAAATCACAAGGCCAGTTCAGATTCAAGAATAGACTCCACCTCTCAGTGGGAGAAACTACAAAGTCATATTTAGGAGGATAGATACAGGAAGAGGAACACTTGTAGTCATTTTTGCAAACAGTCTACCACATGCGCATGCCCTTAGGCATCTTGTGATCTGGTGGACAATCAAAACCAGTGTTTATTCTACTATTTTAGGCACAGGAGGAGTCAGAAGCTGTTGGCTGGAGTGTGGGAAACTCTGTCCTACAGCACCTTCTCCACTGACGCTTTCTGTTAAACGTTGTCCTTCGCTTTGGTCTTTTTTTTTTTTTTTTTTTTGGAGATGGAATCTTGCTCTGTTGCCCAAGCTGGAGTACAGTGGTGCCATCTTGGCTCACTGCAACCTCCGCCTCCCAGGTTCAAGTGATTCTCCTGCCTCAGCCTCCTGAGTAGCTGGAATTACACGCATCTGCCACCATGCCTGGCTAATTTTTGTATTTTTAGTAGCATCAGGGTTTCTCCATGTTGGCCAGGGTTGTCTTGAACTTCTGACCTCAAGTGATCCACCCACCTTGGCCTCTCAAAGTGTTGGGATTACAGCATGCCTTGGTCATCTTTAAGAAAGCAGTGACCTCTGGGTGTGGGTGGGAGAGCTGAAAAGAGCCAATCTGAGAGTTAGATTGAGTCAAAGACATGTTATTGGAATTCAGCAGTTTATTCTTTTCCAAAAGATTTGTACTTGCTTATCTAATAAGAATTTTTTTCCTTAAAAAAAGATATTTTTGTGGAAAGAACCAGGTGCGTATAACATAGGATATTACTACTTTCCTTCGTTTATCAATCCTTAAAGGAAGTTTACTTTCGAGCATAAGAAAATGACAGCTATTTCAAATGCAGGTGGCATCACCAGGAGGTATTAATTTCCCTCCCCACATAAAACATGGAAGAAATACACTTATAAAAAGCCAAGTAAAACAGCTTTGAAACAGTGAACAATATGGCTCTGCTGTTTACCTTGGGTGGAGTGATAGCTCCGGTAGAGACATGGGGAGGGAGAGAGATGTCCAGCCATGGTCTGTCCCTTGGGCTGCCTGAGGGAGACTTCCACCTTTGGGTCACTCACCTCCCCACTGCCCCACAGCTCATGTTTGGTTGAATCTGCCAGCCTTCCAAAGGTCTCTGGTCTTTTCTCCTTCACTTCACTTCTCTTTCTTAGTTAACCTGCTGCTGTGTAAAACCCCATTGTGTTCCTGAGGCACCATCAGGCTTGGAAGAGAACAAGTCCAAGGGTTCTCCCAAGGCCGGATCTAAAAACCCAGATAGGGTAGGGAGGAATGAGATCCAAGGCCAGCTCCCCTTCAGAGGGAGGAGATCCTCCCGGACTTGGGAGCTAGACTTCTAGGTGAAGAAAGGCTTCAAGCCTCCGGCCTCTACCCTTGCTCCGTGGTGGTGTGGACTTGCTAAAGGGCTTGGATCATCGTTGACAGTCAGACCTCAAGTCTGCAGTGATTGTAATGGAAGCCCCTCCTTCCAGTCCAGGAAGCAGAAATGTTCTTGCAGTAGCAGTACATGGGAAGCTGAATGTGAACTAAGCGTGCTGAGTTGAAATATTCCTGGGCAAGGTTGATCTGCATGAATGACCCTCACCTGGGTGCTCCTGATGCATCTTGGAGGCCAGTGGAATTTTCTTCCTGGCTCTTGGCACCATTGACTGGGGATTTTCAAATGGTCAACCAGTTCATGGCCATTGGGAACATTCACATGAAAACCCTTCATTTCTTCTGTTCCTCACAATGGTCCCGGCTTTACAAATGGAGAAGTGAAGCTTCTGAAGGTCAGATGATTTGCCCAAGGTTATGGAAGTAGTAAGGGGTAGAAACCAAGCCTTTTAATTCCAAATCCAAAGCTCTTATCACAATACCTCACTATTAATCCTGAATCTGCCCAAATATCGCATTAAAAGCAGGTGATTTAGGGAAGAGATTTGAGAGTTGACTCCTTTGAACTGTATACTTTCAGAATTTTCCAGCCATCCTTTTCGAGGCATCAACCCCAATTCCCCTTCTGTACATCCTCAATGAGTGAAATCTCACCTCCTCCAGCCCATACAGCCCTCCCCTGCCCCCATAGGGCCAGCATCTTAGCATCTTCCTCTCCCTCAACCACCGACTCCGGGTGGTAGGTGCCCAGTGTTGTGTCAGGAAACTAGGGAAGCCACAGAGTCAACAGGCCCAGCTTTCCCCGTTGTCAATTTCACTAGAAGCGTTGTTAGGGGAGAACAATCTCACAGTGGATATCTACCTACTATGCAGCAGAAAGTACATTTTGAAGATTAGTATTTTTTATCTTTCAAAATAATGCAAAGAAATGATTGCTTGCCACTGGTGTTTCCAGAGACAGCCCTAAATCTTCTAGTTATGTCTCCTTGGCAGGCTGTGGGGGTTATTGCTGAAATACAACCCTCATTACCTGAAAGGCTCACTGGGTATCTACCATATGCCCCAGGATAATGTACTGCACTGGTGTTTTTCTCATGTGTTCATAGATAACTTTCCTCATCTTGATGTCACTGTTAGGTTACACCCACCTTGAAGCTCTTGTAGTAAATAATAGCACACACCTACTATGTGCCAAGAGTGGAGCTCAGACAAGTGTCAGGCAAGTGAGGGGCCTACTGTATACAATTTAAGGAGGCATTCAGCTGCTTACCCTGAGACCGAGTGCCTGGTCCGTTGTGAGTGCTGTTGTCACCCTTGTCCCACCCTAGCTAGGTTCTTTTTCATTTTACTTTATTATATTTTTTAGAGACAGGGTCTCCCTATGTTGCCAGGGCTGGTCTCAAACTCCTGGGCCCAGGTGATCCTGGGCCCAAGTGATCCACCCACCTTGTTCTCAAAGTGCTGGGATTACAGGCATGAGCCACCCCACCCAGCCTACCCCCGCTGGGTTCTTTACCTATATACATCCTATTATCTTCATTTTACAGATGTGCAAGACCGTTTATACTGGTTAAGAAGCTTGTCCAAGGTCACACAGCTGCTTCCATCAACCTGCTGGTGAACACTGACATTATCGTATTTGGATTTACAACAGCGCTGAGAAGTAATTGGTCCTACATAATATTGGTTCATGAGTGCTGAGTGCTCAATTTTCAGGCATTTTGGAAACAGCTGTTAAACACAGCCATTGTTAAATACAAAATTATATCAACTTAATCAATTGTATTAAAAACAAATGTAATAACTACTCCAAACTCATCATTTCCTAATTCTCCTGTGTTCCCTGTCCAAGGGCAAGGCAGAGTGGCTGCTACTTTGGAGCAAAAAGAAAAAAAATTAAAATCCCTTCTCTGTAGGGCAGGCAGAGGCAGGCTCCTCCCTGTGCCAGCCGGAAGCGCCTTCTTCCTGTCATTCTCCAGTGCGGATATACTGTAGGAAACTGCCACCAAGGCTGCAAGGAAGAAAAACACCCGCTTCCCATGCTCCCAACATGGGCGATAGAAAGCTCCAGGCTGGATCACCCTGAGACCTCTCCCTGGCTTCCAGGAGAAACGGACTTTCCCCTGAGGTGACACACACTGTAGCCCAAGGCTGAATGTCTGGATGAGAGTAGCTTTTACCCTGAGGCAGGAGAAGCAGCCCGTCTCTAAGAGAGAGCTTGGCTTGGTACCTGAGAGTCCTGGGTTTGAATCTTGCCTCTGCCTCTTACACACTGGATGGCCTCTGTCAAGGCATTTAACTTCTCCTTGCCTCAGTTTTCCAGCTGTAACTTCTCCTTGCCTCAGTTTTCCAGGTCTATTCAGCTGTAAAACAGGAGAATACTCACTTTATGGGCTCTTACAGAGTTGTGGTTGAAAAATCAAAGACATTGTGTAGAAAGCATTCTAAGACATACATGATGGAAGGCGTGGAATACACATTAAATGAATGAATACCAATAGCAGTTATGTGCCAGCCATAGTACTAGGCAAGGAGGATTCCAACGTGGGTGGACAGGGGTCCTGTTTCCAGGACTCTCAGTGCAGATGGTGGAAGGATCTGGTGCTTTGGTAATAGCTTTTGGAAAGAGCCGGGAGCACAGGGGTTTGTTCGAACTTGCCCAGCCCAGGCACTCTTGGAACAAGCATTTCCTGAGACTTACTCTGTGTCTGTGGATATTACCAGGGGTGCAGCTATGACTACACCCAGTCCCTTTTCTCTCAGAAACAGCACTAACAGGCATGAAAGGTGAAATTATTACACAGGCAAGAAAATGCTTAAAAATCGAGGTAGAAGAAATTACGGAGTGAGGAGAGCGGTAGGTAGACAGGGAGGGGCCTGCGTTCAGACCTGCTAGGGAGGCCGGCAGGTGATGGTCCTCTGGGAAGGCCTGCAGTTCTTCTCTGGCTTGTTTTAGCAAAGTGGAGGTGGCGGGCAGGGCTGGAGTTTGCCTTCTGCTGTGGTGATGACGCTCTGGGTGTCCAGCAGCTCTTCCCGTTCCTGCCCCTGGACCGCGTCTCTCCCTTCCATGGCTTGAGCCCAGGGCTGAAGCACGGCTGGACCTGTCTCCATGGGACCCTGAAGCCAAGCCGGAGCCCTGACTTGCCACAGCATCCCTAGTCACATTGATGAGGTGTGCTGTGGACATGCAGAGAGAGGGAGCATAGATGCTTAGTGAGATCCTTTTTGGGAGAGAGGACAGGGTGGGAGAGGAACTGGCCTTGGACATGCTCCCTGGCGCTGGGATTGTGAGGCCACCTCCTCTCACAACCTGGGCCATCCCTACTACACAGAAAGTTGGGATTTTCTTGTCTCTCTCAGAGCCCCAGACAGCTCCCGTCTGTTCCCTTGTTGTATTGGTAGCTAACTATGTGTCTGGAAGTCAGAGAGACCAGTGGCTGGTAGTGGGTGCCTCGTGCCTGTAGCCTGCTCAGCCCTTTCTCAAAAGGCCCCTCTTGGCTGGTTTTCTTGTCTCTCAGCAGCGGCAGTTCTTTCTGGTCTACTCAGGGTGGTTGCAGTGAGGCTGGTGACCAGCTATTCTCCATCTTCCGGGGACAAGCAGGTGCTTAGGCCACAGTGCACGCACTGTGTCTGACAGAGGCCAAAGGGGAAAGCCACCTGCCTGGATTGTTCTGGCTGCAGCAAAGCCGCCAGCCCTGGAGGTCTTCTCCAAACAGGATAGAGCTTTATCTCTCTGGAATGTCTCAGGGCAGCAAGATCTAGCCTGTCCTCTCTGCACAGACAAAGCTCGTCTTCCATGAAGCACTGGGTCCCACTTCTGGACTCCATAGAACTCCAGACTCCTTGAACTCCACTGAATATAGAGCACTGCTCAGGACCTTGGCTCCTTGAATGTGTTTCTTCTTCCAGGTACTCATTTTATTTCTCTAACTCCCCTGAAGGTGAGAAGCCTGTCCAAACTGATATCCCCCTATCACTTACCACAGTGCCAGGTGCTTCCTAAGCATCTGCTGAGGCCTTGCAGTAACCGGGTGATAACTTCTAAGGGGAAAGCAGAGCTTGGGAGGATGGGTCACCGGACTGGGAGGTGCTGAAGAAGCCATGAAAGGCCTGGAATTTGGGGTGCTGCCTAAGGCAGGCTCCACAGTAGGGACAGGGCAGTGGGACTCCATGCTGGGGTAGCCAGGGGACTGTAGTAGCCTGGGGAGAAAGGGCTGGGGCATGAAGGTATTGGGCAAGGGAGACCATTGGCTTCCTCCAGAGCTGAGAGCCAGCCCTAGAGCCCTCCAGATGCCCTGGCCTTTCTATCAGTGAGGGGTTCAGACCAGGCAGGCCCCTGCTAACTCCAGCTGATTGGGAGAGGGTTCAGGGAAAGTGCGAATGGGATGTGGCTTTGGGAGAGATGGGGGCTTGGGTGGGTGGAACCAGAGGATGAGTCCCTGGCCAGGAGGGCAGGGGGAGACATGGCACCCAAAATGCTACAGAACACAGAGCTCCCTGCAAGCTGGGACATGTGACCAGGCCCTGTACCCTTAAGAGAAATCGAGCTCCAGGGTTGACTCATGCTAGGTGCCAGGGTCACTCTGAGACTCTCACGGAATTACATCAGGTGAGAACCTGGGCAGAATCCTGGGGCAAAAGGGAGAGTAAATAATCATCATCATCATCATCATCACAACAACCACAGCACTACTTCACATTTCAGTGATGTTTCACAGTTTACAAAGGCTTTCACATTTGTCAGCTGTGAAAAGGGAGAGGGCTGAGGAATTTCAGTTGCCTCCACCCACATACACTCCCAAGGCCTTAACCTTGACCCTTTGTCTCTCTCCTTCCCCTTTCCAGGACTGAGAACTTGTACCGGGATCTGCTGCTGTGTGCAGCCTTGGAGCAGGGTGAGAAGAGAGGCTAAGACTCTGGAAGGGCACTCCTCCCTGCAGCCCCCTTCCTCTCCTTGGTCCTGTGCTCCCTCCTTCTCAGACACATGTACCCATATCTGGCTTACCTGGGTTTCCGAGAAAGCAAGGAAACTAGAACTTCCCTTCCTGTGTCTCCTGGAAGGGAGGAGCTCTGGGCTAGGAGGGGGATGGACCAGAGCTCCTGGCACTTTGTTGGCATCACAATAAGCTGTTTCTTTCCTCCTGTGTCCTACCTGCTGCCTCCACCCTGGCTTTCTGTCTTGCTTTGCGGGTCCATCTGCCATGTGAGGCAAAGGTCAGTAAACATCTCCGACATTGACTCAGGTCTCAGCCTCCTTCCCGCCAAATGGCACAGATGGCAGTCTCAATCACTGCCTGGATAAACACGCTTTCTTTTTTCTTTTTTTTTTGAGATGGAGTCTCGCTTTGTTGCCCAGGCTACGTGCAGTGGCACAATCTTGGCTCACTGTAACCTCTGTCCCCAGGGTTCTAGCAATTCTCCTACCTCAGCCTCCTGAGTAGCTGGGATTACAGGCATGCGCCACCATGCCCAGCTAATTTTTTTTTTTTTTTTTTGTATTTTTAGTAGAGACGGGGTTTCACCATGTTGACCAGGATGGTCTCGACATTTTGACCTCGTGATCCACCCGCCTCAGCCTCCCAAAGTGCTGGGATTACCGGCTTGAGCCACCGCGCCCGGCCTTAATTATGTATTTTTAATAGAGACAGGGTTTCACAGGCTGGTCTCGAACTCCTGATTTCAGGTGATCCGCCTGCCTCAGCCTCCCAAGGTGCTGGGATTACAGGCGTGAGCCATCGCGTCCAGCAAGAAAGGTTAGTTTTCATTTCTAATACATGTCCACTGCGAGTTGGCCATGGACTGCTCTGCCGATTTTACTCCTGGGCTGATGGAGTGACACTGGGACTCCTGGATCTGGGATACTCAAGGTTTCACAGCAGAGGGAAAAAAGATTGGCATACGGAATTACTCACTAATTCTTAAAACTTCTGTCTAGAAGTGACACCTGTCATCACTGCTCACATTTCATTGGCTAAAGCAAGACATATGGCCGAACCTAAACTCTCCTGGGGCAGGAAAGTATAATGTTCACCTTCACCCAGTAGTAAGGTACACCATACAAAGGCTCCCTAAGTCAGCCCTGCTTTAGGCTGGGGGGGTCCTAAATTCCTGGGAGATACAGGGACCTCGAAATTCAGTTGGTGAACAGTTGTCTTGAGGTGGAGTTATAAACAAATATAAGAAAAAAATATAATGGCTGGGCATGGTGGCTCGTGCCTGTGAACCTTACACTTGGGGAAGCTGAGCTGGGAAGATTGCTTGAGCCAGGAATTAGAGACTAGACTGGAAAACATAATGAGACCCTGTCTCTACAGAACATTTTTTTAAAAATTAGCTAGGCATGGTGGTGCATGACTATAGTCTCAGCTGCTCAGGAGGCTGAGGTGGGAGGATCACTTGAGCCCAGTAGGTGGAGGCTACAGTGAACTACGATCTGATCAATGCACTGTGCTCCAACCTGGGCGACAGAGCAAGACCCTGTCTCTCAAAAACAAACAACAAACAAACAAAGAAACCCAAAATACAATATAAGCTTCACAGGGGAAAAGTCTTAAAAAGAATAGCTGGCATTACAGGCGCCCACCAGCACGCCTGGCTAATTTTTGTATTTTTAGTAGAGACGGGGTTTCACCATGTTGGCCAGGCTGGTCTTGAATTCCTGACTTCACACAAAGTGCTGGGATTATGGACATGATTATGGCCAGGCCCGGGCCAGGTTTTGAATCTTGCTGTATTGTTGTAAATCCCAGGTACTCCACCCCCTCGGTTCCCTCATTTTTGTTGCTTTGGGACAGTGACAGTGGAGTCCACTCTGCCCGTTTGACCTTCTCCAAGGACCTCCTAGAATATGGTGGGAGAAGAGAAGCACATGTGGCTGGGTAAGGAGGAACACTTGCCTCTCCCTGACATCTTCACAGTTCAGTTGATCTGAGAAGCACCAAAATCTACTCTCTTAGGCATGTGGCTCAAATATTTTCATTTTTTAAAAACTGATGTCTCTGACTCACAGGTCTCCTTCAGGCTGGAATGCCTCTAGTGCAATGTGACATACTGGGGAGCAGTAGGTGGCTGCCCCGTCTTTCTGGGTTGTACCAGGCGTATGTAATCAGAAGTCCTAAGTGGAGAGGCGTTAGACAGTCAGACTCACCCAGCCAGTAACTTTCCCCCTTAGCCTTCTATCTGGTCATCACAGAATTTTTGAGCAGGAAGAGACCTTGCACCTAATGAATTCTCACACATCTTGTTCCAACTAAAGAGCTGAACATCGAGGACCAAAATGCAGCCCTCCTGTCCTAGATGTCCAAGCTAAAGCATAGGACCCCAGTGGGCACTATGCACCCTTCAACTGACTTACCGACTGCAGCTCACCATCCCTCCCCACCTCCTCCAACAAGATAAACGCATCTGTGACCCCATCCCAGGGGAGCCAGGGAGGGAGGGAGGGAAGGATGGAGGAGGGAGCCTCCCCAGTACAGACAATCAGAGACTCGGCCTTGACTTGGGTTGTTAAGAGAGCTGCTGCCTCCCTTCTCCAGCTGGCGGGAAGCAGTGACCCAGGGAGCCCGAGCCACCTCCCGGGGAGGAGAAGCTGGCTACGGAGGAAAGATAAAGGAGAAAGGGGAGGAGTCTGGCCAGCTCCCACCTCCCGGCTGCTGTTCCAGCCAAGGGGCTGAGCTGGAGAAAGAACTGATAACAGATAAGGGGCTTGCTTTCCTGTGGCCTTGTTTATACAAGCTTAGGTTCTTGCCAGCTGGTCCCTGGGGGTGGGGGTGGGGGTGGAGGAGCTATGTGGGTGGAGGGTAGTGTGGGTTTCTGGACCAAAACTTGCTTTCAGCTGGCCAAGGCCAAGGCTTAGAGATCTTTCCCCTACCTCCCACCCCATCCCCACCCCCAGATTTCCTGCAAGAAGTTGGCTGAGTGGAGGCTTGAGCTGAAATGCAAGGCTTTCCAGACTTGGAGTGAGGGGGAGGGGGGCGCTTGAAAAGCAGTGGATGTGGCAACGCTGTCTCTCACTTAGCCTCTGGGGCTCTGGGCATCTGACAAAGGGAGCATACACTCTGGAAATGTGTTAAGGGATTCAATCTCTCAGGTGGTTGGAAAGACTTTTTGGAGGGATGACATCTAAATAGAGGATTGGGCCAGCTGCAGTGGCTCATGCCTGTCATCCCAGGACTTTGGAATCCTGAGGCAGGTGGATCACTTGAGGTCAGGAGTTCGAGACCAACCTGGCTAACATGGGGAAACCTTACAGAGGTTTCACCTCTACTAATAATACAAATATTAGCCAGGCTTGGTGGTGGGTGCCTGTAATCCCAGCTACCTGGGAGGCTGAAGCAGAAGAATTATGCCTGAACCCGGGAGGCAGAGGCTGCAGTGAGCTGGGATCACACCACTGCACTCCAGCCTGGGCAACAAGAGTGAAACGATCTCCCCCTGCAAAAAAAACCCCAGAGGACTGACAGACAAGCAGGATTGAGTAGAGTCACAAGAGACACATAGAGAAAGAGCATCCCATGCAGAGATGGAGAAAGCATCCCATGCAGAGAAAACACTGCAGGTGAAAGCAAAGCATTTTGGAAGCAAAAGAGATGGGGTGTTTGGGGGAAAAAGAAAGTGGCAGTGTTTAGTGGGACCCTGAGGAGGAAGGGAGCAGATGTGGGCAGAGGCTAGGTCATGGTTGGGGGTCGGGGTGGAAGGCAGAAAGGGGACTTGGAGGGAGGAGAAGAACGGGCAGACAGGTGGAGATGGGAGGTGGGAGGACTCCAGGAGACTTTCCTCTGCAGGAAAGTGGGAGCCACAGTCCTTCCTGAGGTATTTTTAGATGGTAACTCCTGGAGCAGAAGCTTGTCAGCCTCACCTGGCTGCCTTCTGTGTTGAAACTCACATGGGTGTCCTCTTGGTCCCAGCCTTACCTGTGGCAGGCACATCTGGTTTCCCAGCCCCCGTTGGTTGGTTGGAGATGACACCAGCCCAGAGCTGTTGTCCTGGGAGGCCAGCATCTCCGAGGCCGGATGGGTGGGATGAGGGTTGAGGCTGTGCTAGAGCTTGTCCAGGGAGGGCCTGACTCCCTTGAAGCTGTCTGCATCTGCCCCTGTCCCCATCGTGCCCTCATAGGTGGCAGTGAGAAGGATTCAGAGCTCCTTGCTTAAGGCCAACCCCCTCTCCTGGCCCCACTTCCAAGTGCATGAGTCACTTCCAAGACCCCCAGCAAGTCATCCGTTTCCCCCTACTCATTCCTTCCTTCAGTCTGTTCCACTCAATAGTTACTGAGGCGTATGGAGTCTCTGGCACTAGCACACAGTAGGTACCTTCATTGGGTTCGGCTCTGTACCTTGGTCCAGGAAATCCCAGAGCTGGGAATATGAAGTTTAATGGGTCAGGGCACAGGCTCTAACAGCAGACTGCTGGGGCTGAAAGTCTCTAACTCGGAGAGCTGGGGCAAATCTCTCCACATCTTCACACCTCCCTTTCCTCATCTGTAAAACAGATAACAGTAGTACCTATAGGTTGCTGGAGATTAAATGAGAGCATTCCCATAGAAAGCTTTGTGTATCGTGAGTGGTCAGTTAATATTAGTGGCTACTGTTTATATACATCAGCTGTTCACTTTGAAAAAAGGAAATGGTTCGGAATCTTTTTTGAGAAAGTAACGCGATAATATTAAAGATATCTACCTTAACAGCAACTATTCTTAATATTCACTTCCGGTACTTATTTTGAGATCATAATAAAAAATCCTGAAGTCTAAGGAATTGTATGCTTTCTTTTCTTTTGATCTACTCCAGTAAAGCTGCCATGTATATAGACTCAGGAAATGACTGTGGGTGTGGGATCCACGCCCATGCCCATGCCTGGAGGTGAGAACCCTGGATTGTATTCCTGTTCCATCCTTAAGTCTTGTGTGACTGTGGGTACATTTCTCAGCATCTTGGAACCTGTTTCTCCTCACCTGTTAAGGATACTAGCCCTCTCCATGGGCTATGAAAAGTAGTTCTAATATGGGCAAAGTGCCCAACATAGAATAGAGGATTCATAACTGCCAGCTCGCAGCCTCTCCCTCTGATTCAGTGTGGGGTTCAGAGGATGGTTGTTACCACCAGACCGGCCCCAGCCCCCCTCCCGCCTTCCCATGGCAAGCCCTGGAATTCACCTGAGACCACTGGGGCTCTGGCCTACTTTAAAGACTGGGGGTCAACCAGCTTCCAGTTTACTTTGCTGACACCACTACGGGAACGGAAGGGCCCCAGGTGTGAACTTCCCCAGGGTCAGAGGGGATCTGGGAGTGGGAGAAGGCAAGGATGAAGCCATTTCCTGGGAGCCCTTGTAGGTGCTACCTCTTTATGGCCAGGGTGGGCTGGTAACTGTTGGGGAGAAGGACCACGGGGCGTGTGGGTGGGGTGAGCCGGGGATTGCAAAGTTCAGAAAGCTGAGAAAGAGCCAGGCACAAGGAGAGAGAAGCTGTGGTGATTAAGAGAGGAGTTCATTAAATCAGGCTGGTGGGAGCAACCTGGCTGAGTTAACTAAGCCCTGCTACCTCCAGCCAACAAAAGCCCTTTCTCAAATAGAGAAAGGAGAATATTGTATTCATAACAAGTCATCACTTATGTCTTCAGAACACTTTCAAATCAGAGCATTCTTTTACATACCTTTTCTAATTTCAACCTCACCAAGAGGCAGAGAAAGGGAGGTAATATTCCTATTTGACAAATGAGAAAACGCAGGTTCAAAGGGACTAAGAAACGTGACCACAGGCATACAGCTACTGAGCTGGAACACAAACCTGGCTGTCTAGTACCAAGGCATCTGCAACTGAAGGATCAGTAGGCATTTTCCAGGCAACTAGTGATTTGGGTACTAGAATAATTTAGAATCTCCTGCATTTAAAAAAATGTTAAAATAGACTACCTGGCCCTCTTTCTTTTTCAGATGCATCAGCTTCTTTTCTGACTTGGGCACTGAGTCTCCATGCAGAGAAGCTCTCCTGCGGGCAGTGCCCCTCCAAGGAGTAACAGCATCCTGCAGATGAGGGGGGGGGACTTAAGGCAGTCCCTGCGGAAGGATTTTCAGAGCTGCTTGTTAATAGGCGATTAAGTGAGGTTGCTAAATCACGATGGCGGTGCATCAGCTGTCACCAATAGGATTAGGGTCCTCTTCATTTATTCGGTATCTAAGAGATCACACTAACAAACAGTGTGATCATGGGGCCTTGGGAAGGCCCTCTTACCTCTCTGGGCATTCGTTTGCTCGTCTGAAAGTGGATAGAACTTGTTTTCCACCCACCCCCATCTGCCATTGCAATTACCTTGATTTGTTTTCAGTGTGCAGGCTGGTGGAGCAAACATTTCAGGAATACCTACAAACCAGTCTGTCTCTGCCATTACCAAATGGTAGCCCCGGATCTGTCAGTTGGTCTTGCTGGGTCATGGTTTCTTCATCTGTGAAATGCAGAGGGGTGGCTCTTTAGGGTCCTTTCAGCTCTAACATTCTTTGCGGAAGCCAGTCACCAGGCCTGGGCTGGGAGAGACTGTCGGGAGTGAGGCCTACGGGCCTTCCTGCATGGGTCTGAATGAGCGGACCCTGTGGGTAAGCTGGGGGTGATAGAAGCCAGGGGAGGGCCTGGAATTGAGGAGCTGGGGCTAGGGAAGAGAGAATCAAGATGCCTGGCTAACCTGTCAGGACCTTGCCCATCTATCTGGATGGTCCCCAAAGAGGTTCCTAGGGCCTACCTGGGGAAAGGTCCTACCTGGGAGACCCTCAGAGGAGGCTGGGGTCAGTTATACCCCTGCTCAGGGAGATGAGCCTTCTCACTTGGCAGGCTCACCTGGCAAGCTCTCTGCTCTGTGGAGCTTTCCTGCCTCAGGTGGGGAAATCCCCCAACGGGGCCTTGCCATAGCTAGCATTGGGTTAACACTAGGCTCTCTGGGCAAACAGTGTCTTTGCTATCTCATGTTTGGAACTCAGCATGGGGGAAAGGTGGAGTTCACAGGCCACCAGTTGCATCCAGTCCAGTGCAGTGCAGCCTGCTGTGTTACCTCAGTGCAGGGCAGTCACAGGAAGGAGATGCAGCCGGGCCTGCAGATAACGCCCAAACTGTGCTCACTCTGGCCATCAGGCTCCTTCCCATGAGGGCCACTGCTTTTTCTTCAAACAATTGCTGTGGAGCCAGCTCCACTCCAGCTGCTTTGGGAGACCTAGAAATGTATTCTTTCTTTCATGGAGGAATGAGGAGTGGAGAGGTCTTGCGGGATCCTGGCAGATAATGTAGCCAGTTTCAGTCCTTGCTACTCACTTCTGGCAAGCCCTGTCTCCCCTGTGATTCAGTTTCTCCACCTTTAAAATAAGGAAGAGAGTCCTTTTGACCACCGTCTCCCCCTGGCGCATGAGGACTTACAGGGATGTGTGAGGTCTTGTCTATCACAGAGCTGTGGGTCTTTAGGAAGGCCCTCAGAAAACACCAGCTGCTCTTGTTGGTTATGGGGGTCTAAGGTTCAAGAACAGCCCCGTGGTGTTATTTATTACTCATGAAGTCCTGGCCACCATGCTGATCCCAGGCGGGACGCGGTTAGCCAGGCCCAGACTGAGCAGGAAGCCAAGTGAACTTCCTTTTCTTCTTCTTTTTTAGTACAATCTCAGAAACCTGGTGCTCTCAGCCCTCAGAGTCAGCTGATGCCCCTTGCCCAGGAGCCAGGGTAGAGGTGGGGGTGTCAGTTTCTGCATGTGGGCCCCTGAGTATTCTCAGGAAATGATGCATGCTGTCACCAGCTGTACAGGCCATTACTCGTTGAAAAAAATGTGACTGTGGGGCCATTAGCCCCGAGAGTTCAGCACCCTCTGCAGTGGGCAGGTAAGAGCTAGTGTCTCCTATCAGCTGGAGACGAGAGCCTTAAACTCAGAGTCTGAAGGCAGGTTGCGTTTCTGCTGCGCACCAGCCACATAATGCTCAGGAGGAATGAAAGCTCTCTGTGCCTTTGTTTCCCCGTCTGTAAAACCAGCACTAAAAGAACAGTCCATGCTTTGTAGGGTTGTTGCATGAGCAAAACATAATCTACAATGTTAATGGATGGTCCTAATAGAACATTTGGTGCGTAGAAATGCTCAATAAGTGAAATAGAAGGGAGGGAAGCAAGGATGCGAGTTTAAGATATGTGAACAGAGAACATCCCAATGAGCTGTCCTAATCTTGGAATATGTGAACTGAAAATAGTGTGGGATGCAGGTCCCCCAAGCACAGACTCAGTGGCATGGCTGATGACATCATTCCAGAGCTGTCCAGCCTAGGCAACAGCATTCTTTGGATGAACTTATTTGGATTAAGGGAATAGAAGTTGCAGAGAAGAAGCAGGTTCCCAGAAGGATCCACCCTTCTTCCACTGAAGCCCACAAATAGGTCAGCTCCTTAACGCCCACAGCTCAAAGGCCTTGCCAGATAGGTGTGAGGAGAGAGCGGGTTCTGTGGTCAGAGCCCAAGGCTGGGCATGGAGACTTCTATTTTCCTGAAGCTGGCTATTACGTCACCTGGAACAAATTTCCTAACCACTCATCCCCAGGTAAAGAAGGGGAAGGCCGCAGACAATGGGCTTGTGGCCTTCTGCTTCTGAGCCCTCTGATCTTCATGTGCCATTTGACCTCTCAGCTGTAGTTACTACCCCTCTGGGAGATGGGGGTTAAACTCTCCCGGAGGAGCGTTGTGAGAATGGAATGATTCCAAGGCTGAGGTCCCCACCTGTATCCGCAAGGCCAGGTGAATAAAGGGGGTGCTGTGAGGAGCGGCCTACACCTCTGTCAGGGGCAGGGACTGGTCACCACCTGGAGTGGGCAGGAGGAGATTCTAGGATCTTCTCTAGCCCAGACACTGCCCTGGGGAGCTTAGGTAAAGTGAACCACCCTAGGGGTAGGGGAATGGAGAAGGCTCACTAGGCTCCAGGTTAAACTTTTTGGTGCCACCTTAAGAGAAATCTGTTTAGAGCCTTAGCCTGTCAGTAAATCAGGCAAATCCTAACCCCCTTCCTAACAGAAGGAACAAATGAGAATTAATTAGTAAACATGGCTGTCAAACTTGGTCGGTGTTATTATTAACTTAATGTGTTTGTTTAAAAGGGGGAGCCTGGCTTGCTCCAGTCTACGGGCGGGCATGTGAGCTGCCAGCCTGCCGGCCAGGTCTGATGGGAAATCCTGTAGATTGTTTCCACATGGCAGTTTACAACACAAATCATTAGTTACAGTGGTGGAAGGCCTTGGAGGCGAGGGATGATGGATTCTGATGATGGATTTTGCAGTCTTCACATAAAATGCGGAGGGGTTCTCTAAGGGAGGAGTTTTTGTACTAGGGAGAAGGCACCCCAGGGCCTTAGGCACTGCAGTCTGAATGAAGCCAGCAGGCAGGGTGACCAAGGGGGTCTCCCCTGTTGTCCCAGATGGTTGGGGAGACGTGGGGAGTGTGGTACATAGGCCACGCATGTATACATGTATTCCTGGAGCCCGGGGCTTTCTCACAGGCAGATCTACCATGCTGCTGCAGAAGATACCAGATGCTCAGCCGACCCACTGCATGTGCCAGTTACACTAGTGTAGTGCCCACTCAGCTGGGGTGGGGGGTGGGTGGAGACTGGTGTTGAGAGAATGGCTTGGAATGAACAACTTCATTTTTTAGATATGTGCTGGTGTGTGAGGGTCAGCAGGTAGAGTCTCTGCTCTAAATGACACTTTAATTGACTCTGTGGCTTCAGCTTTACCCACTTTGGTTTCATCAACTGTCCTAATCTTGGGATGCATGACCTGAAAATAGCATGAGGTGAAGGTCCCCCAAGGAAAGACTCAATGACATGGCTGATGACGTCCATCCAGGGGTCACCCACTGACCTTTCTTGCTATGTATATATTGGTTTCTCATGCTTCTCAGTCCTTCCCTCCAAGGCTAAGTCATGGACTCTGGAGCCAGGCGACTTGGATTTGAATATTGGCTCCACCTCTTATTAGCTGTGCAGCTTTGGTTGTTTTTGTTTTGTTTTGAGACACTCTCACTCTGTCAGCCAGGCTGGAGTGCAGTGGTGGATCTCAACTCACTGCAACCCTCCTGGGTTCAGGCAATTCTTGTGCCTCAGCCTCTAGAGTAGCTGGGATTACAGGCATGTGCTGCCACACCCAGCTAATTTTTGCATTTTTTGTGGAGACGGGTTTTTTTTTTTTTCATGTTGTCCAAGCTGGTCTGGAACTCCTGACCTCAAGTGATCAACTTGCCTTGGCCTTACAAGGTGCTGAAACTACAGGCATGAGCCATAGTGCCCGGCCTGGCTGTGCAACTTTGGGCAAGTTACTTAACCTCTCTGTCTCAGTTTCCTTGTCTGTAGAATGGGAGTAATGATACTTTATAGGTTAGTTGTGGGGATTAAATAAGTTAACATTTATAAAGCTTTTAGACCACTGCCTAGTGCATAGTACATTCTGTAGAAATGCTGGTTGAACGGATGAGCTCTGGTTGCCCATGTCTCTATATCATTTTCTCCCCCCAAGCCATTTCAACACACAGTAGGAACAGTGTGCTTGCGATGCACTTCGCATTCCATTTTGTAGCTCTCCCCACAGCTAGAAGCTGCCCTCCCCGAGCACATTAGGGTTCTGTGAGCCCATTTTCCTCACTGGGGCCCTCAAATTCTGTCTGCTGCTGTGATCTTTGCTATTTGAGGCCAACATGGTAAAACCCACATCTACTAAGAATACAAAAATTAGCCGGGCGTGGTGGTGGGCACCTGTAATCCTAGCTACTTGGGAGGCTGAAACAGGAGAATTGCTTGAACCCAGGAGGCAGAGGTTGCAGTGAGTAGAGATCACACCACTGTACTCCAACCAGAGCGACAGAGTGAGACTCCATTTCAAAAAAAAAAAAAAGATTCCTTTACGTTGGGCAGGGTGAGCCCAGCCCCTACCTACACATGAATCCTTGCTGTGCAGCTAGATCCAAATATTGGTCATGACCTTGAACTGAGGAGAGGACTGTCCTGGTGGCACACAGTGTGATGGGGTGCCACTGTGTCGCTGGAGTTCTGTTAGATGTCTGGCGTCCTTGGAGTCCCTGGGGCTATCTACTGCTCTGGTTTTGCATGGGTTAGGCCAGAGTCTTCTTGCATCAATAAAGGACATTTTATTGACTGTCTGCTCATTCCTTACCTACTTTATTATGACCGGACTCATTATTTGCAGCAATAAAGATAGCACACTGTTGAAGAGAGCTGGAAAATAAGAGCTATACAGATAAGTAATTGGCAACACACTTCTCCCTGGAACCTGAGCAGACCCTATGTTTAAATGTGTGTGCAGCTGTGTTGTGTGTTTATCAAGCATCTTTAACAGGTTCACACCTTTGACATCATAACATCACTTCAGAGGCCAGGCGCAGTGGCTCACACCTGTAATCCCAGCACTTTGGGAGGCCAAGGCAGGTGGAGGTCAGGAGTTCAAGACCAGCCTGGCCAAGATGGTAAAACCCTGTCTCTACTAAAAATACAAAAAGAATAGCCAGGTGTAGAGGCAGGCGCTGGTAATCCCAGCTACTCAAAAGACTGAGGCAGAGAATTGTCTGAACCCAGGAGGCAGAGGTTGCAGTGAGCCGAAATCGCTTTGTCTACCCTGGGTGACAAAGCGAGACTCCATCTCAACAAAAAAAAAGTAACTTCTGGGAAACCATCCTAAAGGAATGCTATAAAATTTGCAAGATGCTTTATGCACAGAGATGTTCTACACACAATTATTTACAAAAGAAAACACTGGAAACAACTGAAATGTCCAGCATTTCACATAAGGTTGTGTACAACCACGGTGGACACTAATTTTAGTGGTTTTCAACCTTTTGTAAGTTTATGAGTTGCTCGAGAAACTTAGTAAGATAAAGATTCCCAGCCCCCAGCCCTAGAGATTTTGATTTAATGGATCTGGGGTGAGATCCAGAAATCTGCATTTTTAACATACCACATATAATTCTGATGCAGATGTTCTGCAGTTCATATTTGAGAAAACTGATCAACTTGATGGGATATTTTGCAGTCATTTAAAATGATGTTTGCAGAGGGATTATAATAACACGGAGGAATTTTTTTATAACTAAGAAAGTATGAACATTGTGTATATAACTGCATCCAATTATGAAATACAACTATATAGAGCAAAGCAAAAATATACAAAAATATAAACACAGGTGGTCTCAGCATTTTCTTCAGCATTTTTCAGGACAATTTTCTTCTTTTTTTCTGATGTTCTGTATACTCTAAAATTTCTAAAAGCAAGCATTATTTTTATCATAAAAACTCATATGCCTATAATCCTAACACTTTGGGAGGCTGAGGTGGGTGGATCACTTGATCCCAGGAGTTAGAGATCAGCCTGGGCAACATGGTGAAACCTCATCTCTACAAAAAATGCAAAAATTAGCTGGGCATGGTGGCTCATGCCTGTAGTCCCAGCTACCAGGGAGGCTGAGGTGGAAGGACTGCTTGAGCCCAGAAAGCAGAGGCTGCAGTGAGGCGAGATTGTGCCACTGTACTCCAGCCTGGGTGACAGAGTGAGACTGTGTCTCAAAAACAGAAACAAACAAAGTACACATAGACTCATAATTTTGAAATAGACAGTAACCTCTTTGGAACAAATGAAAGGGCTTTCTCTTGTTCACCCTCTTTCCTGGGATTTCTGTGCTGAAAGATTACATTTTCTCTCTGAAGAGACTAAAGGACCCTGAAGCAGAGTGATGCTGGTCTCTTCACCTTCAGATGGGACAAACCCCTTTTGGAAATGCTTTCACACTCGGCTTTACCTGCAGACCTTTGATAAGCTTCTGGAGTTACTGAAGGCATATTCAGTCCTGGTCGTGATCGCTCAGATAAAAAGAATACTTAGCCTGGAAAAGCACTCTATTTTGTAGAACTGAACTATCTTAATGCCATTCTCTTGAAGATTTTTTTTCTTAGATACTACAGTTTGTACAGGAGAGTGAGGCCTTGTGTCAAGAAGTTGGAGAGAAGGAAAACAAAGTTGTCTGCTGAAAGCTGCATGTATTAGTTTGCTAGGTCCATCAAAACAAAGTTCTGAACCTGGGTGGCTTAAAAACCAGAAATTCATCGTCTTGCAGTTCTGGAGGGTAGAAGCCCGAGATGACGGTGTGGGCAGGGTGGTTGCTTCTGAGGGCTGTGAGGTAGGATCTGCTCCTCCTTAGCCCCCTCCTTAGCTTGTAGAGGTCTGTCTTCTCCCTGTGTCTTCACTTGGGCTTCCTTCTGTATCTGTTTGTGTCCAAATTTCCTCTTCTTATAAAGACACCAGTCACACTGTCCTAGTTACTCCAGTGATTTCATTTCAACTTAATTACCTCTTTAAAGACCCTATCTTCAAATAAGGTCATATTCTGAGATACTAGGGCTTAGGACTTCAACATATGACTTCTTTGGGTGATGCCAGTTACCCCGTAATGACGCAATGCTAAGAGACCAACAGTAGGACACAGCTGTGCAGACGCTGGGAGAGCTGGAATGGGTCCCTGACACGTCTCACTTGGCCATCAGATAGCTTGCAAAGTAAAGGTGAGAGGCGATGTGGGCTGTTTCCATTGGGATCTGATCAAGGAGGGAGAGCTTGGGCTGAGAACTGCCACCTGGCTGGTCCTGGGGAAAGGCAGGTGCCCCTGTGGTAGAGAAAAACTCATCAGCTTAACTTGTTTCTAACTCCATCCACCTGTGGCTCTCTGACTTTCCAGCCATGACTGGGGCCAAGGTCAGTAATCTGTGCAAGCCTTCCCTGGAGAAATGGGAGTAAGAATTTCCTGCAAGACTGTTCTGCCAGTCCTGAAGGCAGGTCTGGCAAGATTGTGAAGATGCTTGGTAAACTGCCAAGCTTTTTCTGTTCCAGCAAGCCGAGAGAGCTCTGAACATCCTCACTCACCTATGGCAGGCAATCATGATGGTGTCTCTGAAGGCTGCAGGTTCAGTTATACTTGGAGGAGTCTGGAACTTGAAACAGTATTCAGGGAGGAGTGGTGGTAGTGACTATTAGGTTGGTGCAAAGGTAATTGCAGTTTTGACATTGATGGTAAAAACCGCAATTATTTTTGCACTCTCCTAATAGTTGTGGCATACGTGGTGTTTATAGAAGACCTTCAGAAGGTTCATCACCAAGGGCCTCCATACATTCTTTAAAAAATAAAACAGCTGGGCACAATGGCTCATGCCCATAATCCCAGCACTTTGGGAGGCTGAGGTGGGCGGATCACCTGAGATCAGGAGTTCAAGACCAGCCTGGGCAACATGGTGAAACTCCATTTCCATTAAAAATACAAAAATTAGGCAGGCATGGTCATGCACGCCTGTGGTCCCAGCTACTCCAGCCTGGGTGACAGAGCAAGACTCTGACTCAAATTAACAAACAAACAAAAAACACCTCTATTTTGGAATTGACATATGCTTCATACATGAAAATTTATAAATTTGATATAGAAGAATAAAAAGTAAAAGTTCCCATTCTCCAACCCTCTCCCTCTTTTCCATCACCAAAAGCCCCTGCC